CCAAGGGGATGAGTTAAAGGCTAAGAGTTCATTTCGTTGCTGTGTACTTCGGACAATGAGGTAAAAATAAAGTTGAATTCTCTTCTGAATCAAAGAGGTTTTATTTCTACTGATGTCTGAGTCTGTTAAATAATTCCTGCCTGTTGGGGTTACGGTCTAAACGAATGTCTTCCCAAGCAGTTTATCTTTCTAGGACACTTTTTCTGTCAGGATGTACAGTTATGTTCATTATGAACATCAGAGAATGAGTCTGGGAACCAAATGAGAGCATTCAGACTGACGTGGTTGAATTAACAGCAAGCAATCTCTCCTGGAGCATCAGGAATGGTATTATTTACATAAGGCTGGAGGCGTTGATGTCTCCACATTTGCAAATGTGTATGATGTAATGATGTAATGATGTAATGATGTAATGATGTAATGATGTGGCAGACTTCATGGAGAAGCGCTGCCTTTAGCTGCGCCTTGATGCGCATCAACCACAGGCTTTGCATGTAAAGCAGCTCTTAAAGCTCGTTGGACGTGACCGTAGCCTTACCCTAAGCTGCTTCTCTGTAATTGAAGATTACAATTTTTGTCAAAATCTGTTGTCCTGTCTCCTCGTTATTCAATGCTTTAACTCTTTTTCCTGAGGGATGTCTTCCCAGGAAAACAACCAGAGAGCTTCAAGCTAGAAACAAAAACATGTCCTTTTAAAACAGTAAATGAAGTTTGAACATTTTTTAAACCTCCTGCATCACAATAAGGTCATAAAGTACCTGTGTAAAGGAAGGTGTTGGTGTGTCCCCCGATGACGACGTCGACCCCCCGAACCTTCCTGGCAATGAGCCGATCCACAGCAAAGCCTGAGTGACCCAGAGCGATGATCTTATTGACCCCCAGCTGCTGAAGTTTGTCCACCACCGGCTGTAGGGCGCTGACCTCATCCAGGAACTGCAGGTGAGGTCCTGATCAGAGAGACAGGTGAGAAGGTCAGACGCCATCATTTAGAAAGGGGGGGGGGGGTGAAGGAAAACATCACTGGCAGGTTGGGCCAAGTGGATGGATGGATGGATGGATGAAGGATGGATGATGGATGGATGGATGGTGGATGGATGGATGGATGGATGGATGTAGATCAGTCTCCTACCGGGTCTGGACAGAGCAGGCGTGTCCCGGGACGTGTATCCCACCACTCCGACCTTTTGACCTTCGACCTCAAAGATCTTGTAGGGTGAATAAGTGAGGCCGAAGGTGGAGGCCAGGGTGCTGTCGGCTCTGATGTTGGCGCTGAGGACGGGACACTGGATGTCCTGCAGGAACGGCGTCATGAGTCCTTCTACTCCGTTATCAAACTCGTGGTTCCCGAAAACCTGAAAAACAAGCAGAGAAGATGAGATGTGGCGAAACAGGAAGCTCGATAAAACCACACGCTTCCTGGAAGATAATCTGTGGTCATCTGCAGGAAGTTAGACTGCTCGTTTCCAAGGAAACCTGCAGCGGTTCAGAGATACGGAGCTCCAGTTCAGCCACCAGCATCGTTCCACCCAGACGGAAACACATCATTCAGACGGATTAATCTCTTCCTGATTCTGGAATCTCTGCATGTCGGAGCGTCCGGATGATCCTGATTATGCTTTCCTGGAAATTCACATCCAGTTTGGAACATTTTCAAAGTTTGAGGGAGGATTTTAAGTTTCTGGTCCATCCAGAACCAGGAGAAAACTTCCCGTCCCAGACCAGCACAGAGGCCATTAAAGTATTCCCATCCTGTTTCAAAACCTGAAAAGTGCGGCCTGCTTTTAGGACCATTCTCTGACTGCAGGTCCAGACTGCAGCGCTTTGTCTAAACCAGCTTTGAACACCTTCAGACTTTTTCCACTTTCTCCTTCGTAGACGAACCAGATGCAGAACATGGGGGTTGCTGTAGATTCTGGGTCGGCCTTTAACTAGGCCGTTTTAACTAGGCCGTCCTAACTAGGCCGTCCTTACTAGGCCGTCCTAACTAGGCCGTCCTTACTAGGCCGTCCTAACTAGGCCGTCCTTACTAGGCCGTCCTAACTAGGCCGTCCTAACTAGG